TGGGGGCAGGTTTGAGGGTAGGGACAAAATAAATTGATTTTTTCAACAAAAAAGTAATTGTAATTTGAAGTTGGAAGAGAGTTTTGGAAAATGTTTTCCATAAGTTTTGAAGGGAAGTCATTTTCCTTAAATTTGAGGAAAATGAGTTGATTTGGAAAACATTTTCCAAAACATTTAACCCAACCAAACATGAGAAAATTGAAAAACATTTTCCGGAAAATGTTTTCCTTCATACCAAACACACCCGTAATATAGAATGTGCATTCGATAACAATTGAACCTATATAATTTAAATCTTGAATGCCTTAAGAATTCTTTTTTTTTTAAATGTGTGCATGCATAAAATTAGGCAGCTTTATTTATGATTATATCCCACATAAGAGAAATAAATATGGCAAATTGTAAAACTAATTAATAAATAAACTCAAAAAGAGAGCAATTCCAGAAGTAAAATTCATACCCAACACAGAGAAAATTCAGCTTCTTTTGGCCCGGGGAAAGAGGGATACAGAGAAGTGGTCATTATTAATTCCACAAATCTAATCTCTCTTTACTTTTTTTTTTCTTAATTAATTTGCTAATGTCGATAACGACATACATTATAAAATAGAAAATCTAAGACTCTCTTGGATTCACTTGGCTCCCAAAAGTTCAATTAAGTTTTGAATATTCAGGCACCCCAAAAGTTCTATAAATGCAAATACAATTTGAGAAAATAATATAAAGTTATTCAAACCCACTCAATACATGACTATGTACCACGCTATTAATTAAACTTGGCACAATCTAAAAGAAAACAAGAAGTGTAAAGTTTTAATTCTTGTTGAGATTAAATTTATTAGAGCATTCAACTTTTACATCTAAAATATTGAATTTCAGAATTTTAACTAGCAAGAAAAAATAACATCTGTTGAGCTATGCTTGTTTTAGTAAAATGAGTAAAACTGGTTCTTCAAAAATATGCATGTTATAATTAGAACCGTCCTTTAGAAGGCTGCTAAAGGTAGGCAAAGTCAACGACCTTTTTTATTTGTCAAACTTACTGTTGTTCGTCTTTTTTTTTATTTCATGTCAAATTATTTGCCTATTCATTTATAATAATTGCGTATAAAGTTGTTCCTTTCCCACAATTAAAACCAACATAGGCTTCTCTCTTCTGACCCATTCAAAAAAAAATTCTCCATGCAGATGTCAAAATCTAAACTTTGTTGGGTCTAATTACCAATAGAATTTGGAATACAATTTTATTACTTCAATAAGAAAATATATTTAGTATTTTTAACAATAGAAATATTTTAGACTTTAAATTAAACTATTCAAATTTTCATGTTATTAAATAATATTTTTATCATAAGATCCAAAGTAATATATTATAAACACATGGCTAACCTATTATTAATTTTAAATGTCACTAATAACAATACTCTGAAAGAAGAGGAAGTTATATAAAAAGAAAATTTTGGATAGAAGAACTAACTAGACTAATAAAGAAGAATTATTGAATTTTGTCGAATGAATTTGATTTGAAATTGGAATGATTTCAAATGTACAAGAACATCCTATTAATATTGTCTATGTATAATTTTAAATTTGTAAAAGAAAAATATTGATAACACGGTTCAATAAACTTGCCAAATTACCAATGTTTCAATATCTTCCTTAATAATTTTGTTGCAAAACTCAGTAATGGTGTCTAGTGTGAGCTTTATTTATCAACTGAGTTAGAAGCATTACAACAAAATCACCAATTGTATATATCTGGAAATTATATAAGAAAATCGGCGACAAATTATGTTATCCGTCAATTTTCCTACTAAGAAAATTTGATGATAAAATCTTTGTGGGTAAAATATTTATATATTGTAACTACTCTTTAAGAATTGATAGTGTATGGTTAACTAATTGATAAAATTATTTCATCAACTTTTATCACAAACACAAGAACCAGTTGCTTCAATAATATTAATCAAGAGAAGTTTCAAAATAAAATTAGAAAATACTCAATATTTAATTCTCATTTAAAATATTTAAAAATAAGTATACTTTATGTAATACAAGATAATTAAATTACAATCATTAATTTTAATACATGTAAAAAAAAATACTAATTTTATTAGGACATACTTTTATGTGTATCTTCTTTTTTTTCCCTCTTTGTTGCTCACAAACCATAAAGATTGAGAGTATATATAGAAATTTGCTTAGACATGCGAAAAATTTATATTAAAACTGATATCCAACACTAACTTTTAGTTGTAACTGATTTTGTTATATAAATATATTTTTTTATTATTTTCTTTGTTTCAAAATAAGTGGCGTTATTTTTTCATTTTGTTTCAAAATATGTAGTGTTTTAGATAATCAATAAAACACTAATAAAAATATTTCAATTTTATATTCTTTATTTTAAAAAAATAAAGAGAACCAAAGAATTACTAAAAAGTCACATTTTTTCAGAAATTAATAAAAATACATCTTATCTATGAAAAAAATCAGATATGTGAAAGAATTGTTGGAATTGTTTATTAATGCAAAGGGCAAATATGAGTTGAATTGCTAAAAATAAGTGTATAAATAAACTAAACTCTAATTTATGTTTAAAAAAATTAAGCAATTTCAAACATTACACGAGAATTTTGGACATCTATCCTTATAATATTAAAAATGAATTAAAAAAAGTGTACTTGTTCATAATGGTTGTTTTATTTATTTTTTATAATTATTGTCGCACGTATATACAGGTGTAAACATCGTGGCCTGCAAAGTTTTGGTATGAACACCAAAAGCAAATTGCAATAAAGATAGAGAATTGAGGTTATTTTTTGGGTGGGGTTAGGGGTTTACAGAGTAGTGCTCAATTATTGAACTCTTAGAATTTTTTTCACAAAATAAATACACCTTTTTCCTATTTTCTTTTTCTTTAATATTTTAAAAATTACGTGGTTTAATTATATACTACTAAAGAAAATATTGGATCCTAAGAAAAACAATACCAAGTTAATAAACTCACTCAATACATATGTGACGATGTACCATTCAATTTCTGAAACGTGGCACAATCTGAAAGAAAAACAACAAGAAGTATAAGTTATGTTTTTTTTAGAATTATTTCTTCAACCTAGCAGATAAAGTACTTGAGTATAATCTATGAGATTTGAAGCTCTTTAATGCGTTGTAAGAATCAAGGCTTGTATTTTTTTATTCGTGAAAAATGAAGGAAGAAAAAAGCAATACATGTTCTTAAATTATTTCTAGCTGAATACATATTGGATTTCAGATTTTGAATATGTCCAACTTTTAATTAGTCATGTTAAGTGACCTGGGAGAGGAAATGTGAGGACTTGAACAATCCCAATCTCATCAATTAATTACTCCCTTTTGTTTCTTTTTAGTTGGTATTGTTTTTTTTTTTTTAGAATCAAACGATAAGAATTAATTACTCCATTTTTATCGTAGCTTTGATTTCAAAACCAAATAGCCCTAAGGTATGCTTTACTTTCTGATTGTAGTTTTTAAATTAAACATTACAAATGTGTTTACACTTTCAAAAAGAAAAAGAAGGAATTAATTATTAGAGTAAAATGATATAAAAAAAAAACTAATTATTTATAAATAATAAATAATTTAAGATCACTATTTTTTTAATAATGATTTATAATAATATGAAACAGATGTAATAGTAATTAGACAGTACCACAATTCCTCAATAAAATAAAATTTTGATAAGCAATCAAGTGCATCAGTAAAATATTGCAAGTGTGATGTTTCTTCCAATAGAGGTTCACGTAGACGACCAACGTAAAAAGCAAAGGAGTTGCTTTACAACCCACTAAATATAACAAAAATAATTATAAACAGATATTAGTAAAGTAATAAAAAAGAGAAATCCCACACTTATGAACATAAGACAATTTTGCTTTAGGAAAATTGGTGGAATTATCATATTGATTCATTAGTGCCTTGATTAGTTAATTGGGCCATTAATTTATCTTTTGACATAGTGCTATAGTCCTGGCAACAATTAGAGTTTGGAGTATTTTGACGAAATAACAAACAAGGGTGGACGGTCGTGTTAGTAAATGAATTTCCAAGTTAACTAATTTTCCCATTTTACATGAAATTAACTTTAATTAGCAAGTTTTCATTTCCAGCCTTGGATAATAAATACTTTGTCCATTATTTTAAAAATAGAATTTTCATTTTTATTTGTCACTTTTGACGTATCAAAAAAAGATAATTATTACTTTCATATTTTACCCTCGGCATTAATTGCTTAATTAATAATCATTTTTCAAATATAATACTCCCTCAGTTCCTATTTACTTGCCCATTTTTTACTTGACATATCTATTAAGAAACTAATAATTGATACCGTGAGTTTACCATTTTACTCCTCCTATGAATTGATAGAATTTCAAAATAAATTTACTCATTAAAAAGGTTCTATCTTTTTAAAAAATATTAGCTTTCTAAATAAATTAAAGATAAATAAGTAAAATGTCAAAATTGGACAAGTAAAAAGTAGAGCGAGGGAACAAGTAAAATGTAGTATTTTGGTAAAATACTCCCTTCAGCCATGGTTTTTAAAGGCATGCAGAATCCAAAATGAACAGCAGAAATAGTATTATGTACTCGGAGAATCTACTTCTTGGGCGGAAAGAAAGGAATGATTTGTAAGTTGCCATGTTAACTTTTACTTTTTCGAGCAAACAACTACAAGAGAAGGTTGTAACAAGTAGCCGACAATCAACTTAAGAGAGAAAAATTGTGGAAGCAAAATTTCAGGACTTGAACCGTTTGCAAATAATATACCGTAATTAAGCAAGAAACAAACGGGTATCGTCACATTAATAATTTAGAGAAATTTATGAGAAAGAAAATCATGGAAACCAAAAATTAATTTACAGTATTCAGAGCTCCCAAATTAATTCGCTAATTAAAAAAAAAAAGGAAAACATTAAGCAAAAGCAGATGCAGCCTCTCTTCTCAAATCTCTGTAGAATCGAGAAATGAATTCATCAGCTTTCTCGTCTACGTGGCTAATCATGTCACCATTATCATCAGCTTCTCTTAGTGGGAAAGGCGAGTCAGTGATCCTTAATTGCCTCACCGTTGGAGTCCTTCCGAATCCAGGCAAAGCAGGTGATGCTGTTTCGCTCTGAAGCATTTCTAATGCCTTCAAAACGGCAGCGTTCATCATTGAAACGTCGTCGTGTTCAGGCTGATTATGCTTATTAATGCGCTTGTTCATGTTGAAGGGGAGATGGAAAGCTGGGCTGTTACTGCAGCTGAACTCGTAATACTCTTTTGAAATCGATTGATGAATATTATTATGGCCCTGAAACATCAGATTTTGGAAGGCGGCTTTGCCAGCAATCTTACCACGTTTCATTAATAAGTTGAGATCGAACATTAGTTTCCTCTTTGATGATAATCCTTTCCTCAACATGAAATAAGCCACGCGGACTATCTTCCAGAACTTTTTCGCTATCACTGGCAATTTTTGATCCATTTTTTCTCTCTAATTAAGTACTCTCTATATAATTCACGAGCAGTATTTCTTTTTTTCTTTTGAATTGAAATTTTGTTTGTTCACTTAAGAAGGAGAGACAAATATTGATGAAAACTTTAGAGGAGAGTTTGTTTTTGTGGTTTATGAGAAGAATTAAGTGAGTGGTATATATAGGGGGGTTTTCATACAGAGGAAAAGGATGTAATGAAGTATTCAATATGTTTACTTTTTAATAAGTTGACACGTGTGGATACGGACCACGTATAGTTTGAGTTTATTCAATATTTTATTAAGACTTCCAATTATTATACAAGGAGTTGGTGATTTTCTGGATCTAGCTTTAGGAAAGTCTTTTATCAAAGTCATTGTTACCCAATACCCACAAGTAAATTTTCCATATTTTCCTCTTCTTTCACATGGATAAATTGCAAATGTAAGTCCAATTCCAATTTTACAAAAATATCATTTTAACATAGTTTCCAAATGCCTTATGCTAAATACTACTATCTGATTATGATATTTTGCTAGAGACCAAAAAAATACGTCGAGGACGGCTGTTCCTGTTTAATTTCATCACTATGTAATACCGCGATTTTTCACCATTGAAACATTAATCAAGTACTTTTTTCTTTTTTTAAAATCGCAAAAATCACCTTAAATATAGTAGGAGCTGATTGGGAAGATAATACATAATATTTCATATAATATATTTTAAAGACAGGGAGATCCACAATTTTAAGTGTATTAACTTTTATTATGAGTTTACTACCTTATTGAGTTAATAATAAATACTTATCAATATTTAATAAATTTCTTAATTTGTATACATGGTTTGGGCAAAGTCGAACTCGTAGCTTGACACAAAGCTTGATCCGCCTCTGTGACTTTAATAAGTAATCTGACATTAATTAAGCTTTTTTCATGTTTGGTTCCGTGACGTTAGAAGTACTAATCAACAAAATTAAAAGGGAAGCCGTATAATCATTTTTTATTTTAATTAGAAGAAAAAGTGGAACATGATACAAAACGTATCGTAGTTGTTAATTAATATTGAAATTGTTTACTTAAGCCGTTGAAAAAAGTAAACTTAGGAAGGGAGGTTTCTCAAAAGACTTTAACAAGCTGTCTCTTCTAAACAAAGAAAGGAATGAAATATTACCCTACCAAGGAAACCCTTCTTTTGTGGAAATTAATAAGTTAACTGTGGGCAACAAAATAATCATGAGAAATAAGTCAAGAACGTAACGTTGCTCTTTTTTGTTAAATTATGACTAAACAACAATAATTTGACAGCCACTAGACATCTTTAATTATTTTCATTCAATTATAACTCATCATTCATCAATATATCCTAGCAAATTCACTTGCACCGTGTGCTAAAACTCCTCCCTACTAATCACTACTATCTCCCATTCAAAATATAAGTGATGTTTTTATCTTTTTATTTTATTTTATAATTAAGTGGTGTTTCATAAAATCAAGAAAATGTTTACTTTTCTCTTCCAATTTCACCCTTTTTAAAGTGTGTGCCCAATTAGTGGAAAACACTATTTATTTAAAATGGAAGGAGTATTATTTGTAAAGTTTTTGGGGTTATGGAGCACTTGAGATTAGTGAATTAATGATATGAGCGAAAATCATGAATGGTCAGGGTTTAAATTCTAATAACGATAAAATGCGCATGTAATTTCCTGCTATCTACTTAAACTTTGATGTACCGGATGACTAATTAATATTCGGGGCATAGGCGAATTTATAGTTTTAAGTTACAAATTCATGTGAATTTAGTTGCTTTACCACATACCTTCTTTTTATATATTGAGAAAAATTGATTAATATTGAAAAAAATATTTAACGATAAATTAAGCTATTATTGCAGTATTAACTTAAGGCCACGAACTCATAAACTTAAATGTGAATTCGCCTCATATAAGTTGAGTAGTAATTGAGCACTTGATGAAAACACCACGGTGTCAGGGGTTCAAATCCCTCCTCGCCCACAACCCGCCTAAAAGGGGAGTACCTTTACTTCATGAAAGGAAAATTAATGATTCATATAAATCGTTTAGTGGAAAATGTCCTGAAGAAATCTAATGAGTAACTAATAATCACGGTACAATTCTTTAGATAATGTTTTGTTTCGTCTATTAGTTGACTTTAGTGGAATGTATTAAATTAGAAAAAGGATGAGGCGTGCGTAGGAATGACAATGGGACGGGGCGGGTTACAATGTATGTGGGGCAGGGCGGGTTAAATCTTTTGTGGGTGCAGAGCGGGACGGATTTAAATATATTTTTTCAAAATTTACACGGGCGGGGCGGTTGTGGGTTAGGATGAAGAATCCCTAAATTCGATTTTCAACGGAACTGATTGAATATTTATTAAAAAAAAATTGAATGGCCAAAAAACTACTATAGAATATGTATTTTATATTGAAACATTGGTAATTTGGCTAGTCTTTTGACTGTGTCAATATTGTTCTTTCACATTTAGAATCATCCATAAACAACTATAAACAAAGATGATCTTTGTACATTTGTAATCATTTCAATTCAAAGCAATTCAACCAAATTCATGAAGTTTTCTTCAATAGTTTAGTTAATTCTCCTATCCAAATTTTCCTTTATCCTTTTATAACTTCATCTTCTTTGAGATAGTATTGTTGGGAATATTTCAAATTAATAAGATTTCAGTTATGTGTTAGTAATAAATTACTTTGGATTTTATGATAAAAAATATTATTTAACAATATAAAGATTTGACTTGTTTAATTTAAAGACCAAAATGTTTCTATTGTTAAAAATAAAAATCTTTCTTGCCTTATTTTTTTAATAAAGATTTTGTACTTTTTTTTCTTAGCAAACTTCAAACTTCAGTATTTTATTTTTTAACAAAAATAAAATCATAAATCTACCCTATAAATTATTTGGTGCTCCTAATTTTTTGAGACTTGAAACAAAGACTTTACTATCTTCTTCTTTTTTGAGTCATCACCATTTGTTTTCCCAGCAAATAACTGATGTATACATTTTTATCATCACTAATTCAGTAGATTTAATTGTTATAATTGATGATGAAAAATCTATTTACATATGTTAATGATGAAGTTTTCTCCAATTTCATTCACCTTTCGTCCACCCAAATTGTGTAGGCTATGACAACACATTTCCTTAGCAACATTTTCATTTTCAATCCGTTCCGCACAATAACTTTTTTCATTTTCAATCCATTCCATCTCACCCCACATAGACCTGCCCCACATGAACCCGCCCTGCATGATTTCTTTAATATTTTCTTTTTCTAGTTAAGTTTGATACTAAAAATAAAATTCATAAAAATAAATTTATTTTTTCAAATTGTAATAAAACCTAAAAGCCAGAGTCTAAACATGTAAATATAAAATTATACGTATTAATGTATTTAGTGAAGGATATAATCACTAGGAGCCTCTATAGTCAATCAATTTGATCAATTAAGTTTCTTAAGCACCTGTTTAAAATCATTAATTAAGTTTTGCGTTAGAATGTCCGTGTGAAATTGGATAAACTCAAAAGAACAATCAATCATAGCTCTAATGATTATTATAATGAATTTTAATCATTGGCCTCATTTTAGGTGATTGACATGTAAATAATAGAGGTGTAATTACAATTACTAGGCCCTAATGAAGCCACGTGGATTTTTCTCCTATGAGGGGTTACTTGCCCATGACACTAGCTCGTACGCTATTGAAATTAATTGAGCCAAGGTAGCACACTCATCTCTCTTATGAACTTGTGGAATTCTAGTAGGATTTGTTTGATCAGATGATACTTTCTTTAATCACTTTCATATTTTATATTATAAGAGTTAATTTAATTAAAGTATGTTTGCTATTAAGAAAATAATATAGTCAAATTTGCAATTAATTCATGTGAAAGGAGAGGGAGAAAAATCTTTGAAAGTGACTTAAAAGTAGGCTATTCAAAATCGAATCGAAACTGATAACTCAAATCGAAAAAAGTTATTTGCTTTATCAGTAATGAATTATTGATTTAGCGATTTTAATAACTGTTTTGATTTTTTTTTATTATTGGGTTACCAATTCTTAAGAGTTTGAAGTTTTTTATTAGGAGGTTAAGTTTTTCATGGTAATGCGCACTTCTTGTTTGTTCCCACACAGCTGTTTGCAATCGAAAATAAAACAAATGACATTATTATATTATATAGTAAAAAAGGGACAGTTGAAACTCCACGCTTGGGTCTTAAAGCTAAGCAAGTGTGTTAATTGTTTATATTTAGTGGTAGTTTCCTTCTCTTGCTTTTGTATTGTTTGTGCTTTTTCAAGCTCTGAATGCTTTTAAAGTGCTTAACCAAACCAAAACATGGTTTTATACCCATTGTTTAGGCCATATTGGGTTGAAAAGGAAAAAGATTTGCAATAGCTTTTGGCCCAATAGATTAAGTTTTACCTAAATTAGATGTACTAAGCATTTGGACTGTACTTCTGTAGTCTATAGCCAGGTTTGGGATTGGTTATCAAAAAGAAGCCCACTATTCCACTTTCTAAGATTTGCCTTATAGTTAATCACAATTGTTAATTTCACGTGTTTTCCTATTAAAAAGGTGTTTTGGCACCATTCCAAAAATATTAAGCTTTATTAAAGCGTTTCCAAAAAGCCTATTTAGTAGCTAAAAAATGCAATTCAACTTGGACTACATGAGTTCATTTTTTAGGCCACTAATATTTTGTTAGGTTGTTCGTGTTCCTTTTAACTCTATTAAAAAAAAAAGTTTAACTCGTATACAATGATGCACAAAAGAATAAGAGGTATTTGCTCATATGATAAGCACTTGCAACTTAAAGATTGTAGGTTCAAATCATTGTGGAGTCACCGTTCAAATCACCAAGTACCAAAAAATGGTGGGAGCTCTCATGAACGGATAAAAAAAATTAAAATATCACTTTTGCAACTTTAATGGTGCCATAGATCGGAAATCCTTTGTTACGGGGAACTTAGGAATCGTTTGGTAATGGGATAAGGTGTGATTAATTTTGAGATTAATTTTAGGATAAGTTTATTCTACTTAGATTGAGACAAAATCGCGGGATAACTTATTTTGAGATTATACTGTTATTTTATCTCATATTAAGGATGGAATAACAATTTTGAAATAACTAATCCATACTAATTAATTCTGAAATAACTTGTTCTTCAACCAAACAAGGCCTAAGGGAAGTAGTCCAAGGAGGCACGGTTTCTTATGGTCCATGTAAGAATAGTGGTGGGCTGATGATAAGTTGGGCGACCCAATTCTTGGAAAATTATGTCCGATAAAGTCTGGGCTTTCACCATTGGATGTTCCAATGCCCGAATTTATTTAGAGAAAATTTAAATAAAATAGCAAACATAATAGATATAATAAGACTCTATAGCTATAGTTTAGATGATTGTGCTTCATATTTATAGTTCCGTTTGCTATGGAGGTTGCGGTTTGTATATTTTTGCACGTTTGTATATTTCACTTGTGAATATACAAACTGGATAAGTATATACAAATTCTGTATTTATACATTTATAAATTTTTCAGAACTTCGTTTGTATATTTCGCTTGCCAATATACAAACATGGTAATTTATTATGAAGTTTTCATATATCGTATACAAATAGCTAGGGTAGACATATACAAAATTCTGAATTTATACAATCATGAACTGAATTATACAAATTAGGCGAATAACAATAATTGGGAAAACTTGTAGCCGCAAATTACAATTTTCTTAAACTTTAGCTATAATACCTAGTATAGGCTAAATGTTTGTTATTGTGCATAATTTTCCCATTTATTTGTTTCTTTATTTTTTGGTATCTTATGCAAATAACCACAAGCTTCACTTCTTACTTTTCCTCTAGTTGATATACATATTATACATGAATTTTATATATATTATTGAAGAAAAACAACTAAAAGTTCTTTTGTAGCACGTATATTAGCAATTGGAAAAAATTAACATGACTGAAATTGCAAATAAGTCAAGTTGCAAGATGAAAGAGCGGGATATTAGCCAACAACATATTATTTAGCTTATCTTGTTGTCATACATATAAACAGTACAATTTCATAAATGTTTATAATGATCATTTTTATTCATACGTAATGGAGATATTTTATTTATGAAAGCTGTAGTCGATATCACTCTCGTGAGAAATGACGACCGTTAAGTTGGCGTCGAATTTAAGCCACAACTAAAGTCGTCGCCGAAACTACTGAAAAGTATTGTATAATTTACTATAGGGGCGGACGGAGTCAGGAGAAAAGAGTTCATCCAAATTTCCTTATACGGTACAATATAAAATTAATTATTTGTTATGAATATATAGTAGATATTGAATTCACTTGATTTTTTATTTTATTTTTTGTATATTTACATCTTTATATTTTTGAATTAAATTAATGAAAATCCTGATTCCGACACTGATTTAGTACAGACCAATATTGACATGAATTGAATACATAGCAAGTTATATATGGTCGTGATTTATCTTCCTATTTTTATTCTTTAATTTAAAACATGTGATTGATGGGGACCTTAGTGTTAGGGTTTTGCCCTGATTTTCTTATCATAATTTAAGATTTATTTTTCCTTAAAGAAAAAACAAAACATTACCATAAATGTTTTTACTTTTCTTGAAAGGAAAATATAATATTATTTTATATTTGGTTTATTCTCTCCTTTTCTAGTAGGAAAGGTTTTATGACTCTATAAATATAGGTTTGTTTCTTCTAACACAAGAACAATAACATCCACAATGTAGTCGTTTAAGAGTCTTGTTTATGGAGAGATTTATTCCCTCTAAAGTTTCAATGTTTTTCTTTATATTAGTTTTGATATAATACTATTTTGATTTTTAGTATAAGTTTTGTTATCTGATTTATCAACTATATGATTTGCAAATTGCAAGCTTCCGCATGACGCCCTATTCACCCTTCATAACCCAACACTTAGCTTGTTATAACCTTCTATTAATAATTAATAACTAGCACTATATATACCACATGATAATTGATAGCTACATTGTCACGGGAACAGGGAGTTCGACAATGATGTTGTAATGTGTATATGTATATATATATATATATATATATATATATTTGATTGATTAATACTCCATCGAGTTGAATTTACTTTGTAAAAAAACAACTTATATATTTGAATGGTCGAACAACGACAACTTGTGACTGCTAGCTAGAAAGTTGATCTCCTTTTTGTTACTGGACATAACTACAACCTCCTTTCTGAGTAGTAGTAATTTTTAGTGTCAAGCTCCAGAAGTTACAAGAAAAAAAAAATTAAAATGTCACAATTTAAAATAAAAAATAAAATATTTATCAGAACATGGTCGAGGTAGGAATTATGCTAAGTAAAGGGAAATGGAAAAACAAAATTGCTTAGAACTTCGTTGCTAACAGATTTTTTTTAAGGGAAAAGGGTCAAATATGCCCCTAAACTATGCGAAAATGTCTAGATATACCCTTCGTTTAGAGTTTGACTCATCTGTGCCCTCGTCGTCCAACTTTTCGCCCATATATGCCCTTGTAGACTTTAGTTGCTTTGCTGGAAATAACCAATTCATTTTTGCATAGGGTATATCAACGAAATTTTATTGTTTAACTATAGAATTTGTCCATCATTTATTTTGTTTTTCTAATTTTCCATCATTTATTTTTGTTTTTCTATCTTGATTTTGAACTATCGATCCTAACGTGGATCCAAGATTTGAAATTTGAGTAGGGCAATAAAGAGTAAGCAAGTTCCATTATTTCTAGCGCTTGATCAAGAACTTACTTTGTTACTAGATTCCCCTCAAATAGTTTTTATATATTTAATAAATTTCTCAATATAATTAATTACAAAATCTACTCAAAAATTACTAATATCTCGACGCCCGATACCGTAAATCCTCCGTCATGAAGTAGAGTCCATTAAAAAAAATAGAAAATTGTTTTCCCCTAGAAAAGTAGTAAATTAGCAACAGTACAAATATATATCCACAAATACACACACACAAAAGCATCACATCACGCACATGAAGAAGCATGCAAAAGTTTTGCCTTTATGTTAAGACTTGTGCTTGCTCTTCATGAAAAATCTAGCACTTTCATGATTACTACACAATTCATGCTTATTGACATACAATAGTGACATCTCAATCTCCATACTCCACACAACTCCTACTTTTTGTCTTACAACTTGTAAACCAACAACTATAAATAGCAACCTTGTTACTCTTACTCATTCATCTTCATATCATCATTTTCTTAAAAAAAATAATTAATAATCATTTGGTACCAAAAAAAAAAAAAAAAAAAACAATGGCACCCCATGGAGAGACAATTACCAAATCATCCTACCTTCGAACAAAAAACGTTACCAAGCCCCCTAGACTCTCCAACGATAATTTACAACGTACAATGTCCGATATTTCGTTCGAATGGAACGCGATATGTCCCGTTGATTCTTCAAATCTACCACCAATTTCCGAAGTAGAAAATGCGAAGTGTGAGTGTTGTGGTATGAGCGATGAATTCACACATGAATATATCGATCGCGTTCGAAAAAAATATTCAGGCAAATGGATATGCGGCCTATGTGCAGAAGCAGTAAAGGAAGAAGCGGAAAAAAATGGAGGAAAAAATGAAGAAGCATTAAGTAGTCATATGAGTTCTCATAGCAAGTTTAATAAATTTGGTAGGGTTTATCCTGTTCTTTATCAAGCTGAAGCAATGAGAGAAATGTTGAAGAAAAGTAGTAGAGATGGAAGGGGAATTCTTAGAGCAAAATCTATAAGTCCAAGGGATAAAATTGTCATAAAGAAGGGTACTACTGGGATTGCAAGAAGTACTAGTTGCATTCCTGCAATTACTAAAGAGATCAATGAGCTTAATTAATTAATTAACCTAGATAATTTGATTTACTGGTCTAATATGTTGTGGAATTAATAATGTTTAATAACAAGATTTGGACTAATTAAACTATTGTGTTAGTTACTCTTCGAGTTTTTTGGGGTTAATTAGTTCAGGTTTTTAACCTTTTTTGTTCTCTCGTGTTATGAGGGGTTTTATGGTCACGTTTGTAACTCAAATGTGACTGACCAAATTTATATCCATCACCTCAGGATGTTTAATGTTGGTCTATGATGTATTATATTTTATTCAAATTAATACGATCTATTTGAGTAAGATTTTAAATAATATAATTGGTGTAAGTCTTGATTTTAAAGTATAAAAGATGTATTTTGGGATTGATGATAAGTCATATTAGCGGGATGCATGTTTAGTGTATTTTAACTAAATTATTATCAACATTCTGGGCCGACCCATTATTTTAGTTGAGCATATAAAGAGCATTTTCATAGAGCACACCAGTATATGTGCTATCACTTAACACATCAATGATTTGAATAATTACGCATCTTATTCGAGTTATCTCTTGATATAATATATTTGCTTCTAAATACATTGTTTCTAGCTAATGTATCTTGCATTTTTTCTGCTCTTACTCTCCTCTATTTCTTTGTTTCTTTTTCATCCCTCTAATTCATCTGGTGTATAAGTATTCAATACTAGTTTTCATGTATCCAACATAAAAAAAGTATTATTTTATCTAGTGTATATGTGCAATGTTACAATTGCTTCTGAGTGGACACTTATATATCCAGTATATTTGTGATGTGTATAAATACATATATTTGGTATCAAATTTATGATGTATCCAGTAACTAGTGGCCTTCAATGACTATCTATTATCATACATAGTAGAAAGCGGAGAGAGAGAAAGAGGCAAGAGCGAGAAAAAGGAGAGGGCAAAGAGCGAGAGATTATGTAATTTTTTTGAAGCATAGTGATCGATATCTAATAGATATAGTATAGTATTAATGATTGTCTAATTAGGTAATGTTTTCATATAACTAATCCTAATAATGGGATACTAGAAGTAGAGAGTACCTCTTTAGAATGAGGCCGATGGACCGGGTACTTTTTTGGAGAGGCGGCCCGAGGAAACAAAGCCCATTATAGCTAAACATCTACAAATTATTTCAAGGAAAAATTAGATGAGTAATTTTTAATTAATAAATCTTTACTAATTTTAATTTTAGTGATATTTTCTATTTATTACTATTTATAGCACTACATAGTACTACTATGATAAATCTGCACAATGTATTTAAAATGAATTATGAATGCAACATAGATGTATTATAAGTGTTTTAAAATATATTATGCTTGTTTGGTAAGAAATTGACATAATTTATAGTAAGTGTATTAAAGTGTGTGTTAAATATATTATTCATAAAAAAAACTTGTTTTATAGATTTTTCTTTGTAAATTGTAATATGTATTAAAATTATATTATAAATATATTATAAGTATCCAGTAAAAATTACCTTAGGTTGAAAGTACCATCATCTTTTTCCAATTCTTCTATATAGATTGTTCTTGCATTCAGATTAATTATACTCTCAAGTAATCAAATGTTTATTGGTTATAGAATTATTTGGCTTGACAAGTGAGATGACTACTCAAATTTCTATTATGCAATTATACTTTGGCTCTCATCGAAGTAAACAAGTCACTATTATTGCTTCCTTCTGTTCCACTGACGGATTAATTTAGGCAAGACTAATAAAGTTTTGTTTAAATTGTTGTTTAGGGGATTAATTATTCCTTAACACGTATCAATGTACTACCTCTTAATCATCAATTTATTAAGGTTTTCAACCAATCAAAACATGTCCATATTAGACAGTTTCCATGGACCATGTTAAGCTGATTACTTATAAAAACCACTAAAATATTACTTACATTAATTTTAAAAAAAAAAAAAACTTTATGACATGCATGCTCAAGAGGGTTTTCTAGAAATCATTGTAGGAAATTAACTATCTCCTTAATTCTTGATTAATGTACAGTTAGAAAAAAAATTATGGATGTCTAAGTTCTAACTAGCAAATTGTTATGTGGTGTAATACTTAATAATTAATCTGACAACTAGGCCTTCTCTAAAGGACATAAATTAAATACAAGGAAACAAGAAAGCTTCATTGTGATCACGACAGTTTACCAGATACAATTAGGTCTTTTATGTGAAATCTATCTAATATTAATACTATAGAGAAAATAAAGTGTTTAATTTACGCATAGCTTGGTCAGATTTGTTTATGTTTATATTTCCAGAAATATATGTAAATTGTCCGTCCATATTGCTTGATTGACAAAAGAGGAAGTACTATAAAATAAAAAATTTAAAAGTGATCATCAAGATATTTTCATTTCGCTCCTTGTAAGTCCGTCACCTTATTCTACTCGTGAAAGTGATGCATGATAACTGGGCCCTTAGTTGTTGCATCAAATACCTGCATACGTTTATTTAAGATAAAGCTATAAATTCGTGATCTTTATTAATTAAGATTGATTATTTCAATAAAGTAGGTGCAAATTAAAACTCTAGTAGATCGAAGTTACGTTAATTAGAACAACTAATATCAGATCCTGTAAAATAAAATAAAACAACTTTTAACGGCAATAAATATGCACATTAAAAAAGACGGTTAAATCTTTATTAATTGTCGTTGGATCTAATGCCGTTATAGGCTTTAGGAATATTTACAAAGAGTGGTAAATGCCTCTAACAAAACATATTTAACGACAATTAAGATTTTGTTGTTAATTAACTGCAGCTAAAATTCATTTTTCGCCGTAGTGAAAGCAAATTAATAATTCAGTTAAGTCCTCTCAGTGCTCATTAGAATCTATAAAAATAAAAATAAGATTAGATAGCTGGAACTGTGGATTAGTACATGAAAATCATTAATCATGTAATTTGAGACCCACCTAAAGCAAATAGTATTTTGGAGTATAGTATGAGTTGAAATATTTTGTACGGATTATGCCCAATAAATCTAGCTAGGAGTAACTTTTAAAGGAACAGATGAGCTGGAATTGCAATTTGGGAAGATGTGATATCCAGCTCGTTAGTAATTTCGTTTTTGTTATTATTATTAGCACTTTTTTGTTTCTCTTAATGGTAGTCATAATCCAGATTAACGTTCAAATAATTGGAGTTTATCTCATAAATTTGCCATACTTTAATGATTAGAAAAATAATGCTGACACGATAGGCTTGTTGAATAAATTCTATAGTTGAGTTAATTCTAACTATGCTAATTAAGTCTAATGCAAAGATATAACAACAATTCGTTTCAAAGGACAAAACATATCTGTTCCAAAAGACAAACAAGGGGGTTTCTGTAAAAGCGAAGTAATGGCCTTTAATGCCATTAACCTTGACAATCCGTTTCTCAAAATGAAAAATTAACTCTTCTATTTGAAACTCCTCCTTTTGAAATATTTATATAAGCATGACCTTTTGTGAGCATAAGAGATATACAACAAAAACCAAAAAAGAAGAGATAAAGTTTTTCCTCCTTTCTTTTCTTAAGCTTATTCTTGGAATATTTTTGGGCAATTGGTCTTGGGCAATCTCCAAACTTTCAGCCACGAGTGCACGTGTTTGAGAGTAACTGTGGAACCTTGGGGAGCGATCGGTAACTACGATTTGTACCGGAGTCGGGCTGAAATCGCTTTCAAGGCAGTGGCTTGTCACGACACAGTATTTGTGATAAGCTATTTAATTACTACTTTATAATTCCAATTCAATATCAATATTATAGTATTTTTTCCAACAAGGCTAACAAGAATAAAAGCGAGACTATTGTTACTTTATCAGACATGATAGAATTATGTCAAATGGTGGTCAAACGTCAAGCGAAAAAGAAATTATTTCGTAAATATACAGAGAATAATATATAGTGAAATAAAATTCATAAAATCGTACATCACACAACTATCGATTTCTTGGATTCAAAAATCAAAATACATAATACAAGTGTATATAAAAAAAAATGTCATCATTAAAGGTGGTTCATTACATTATCAGTTCTCCTTAATTTTATTTTTTTCAAAGTGGGATTTAAACTTGATCTCTAAAATTTTCACCTACTTTATTGAACTCCGCTTCATTAATATATCTTTTTCGAAAGTGTATAGGTTCTTGTAAGCAACGATCAGTCATTCGTAACCAACCTCAATACTTAAATACAATTGGCTGATCATGTTAATATCGTGATAATTGTTTGCCCTATTTTGTAGGTATAAATTAATCTCTTTAAGTTGATTACGATTGAGAACTAAAACCAAATATATTATGTATTCTCTTGACTTTCTGCTCTTTTAATATTGGATTGTAATGAACAATTAATATAACGTACCATCATGATTCATGTACTTAACTAACAATTTTGGTGTGATTGTAACGTTAGTTTCAAAGGGAAGATTATCAGAAATCCACTCATCTCCGACGTGGAGCAATATTATAAAGAACAACTTTCACATATAGCAAACACAAAATTCATATTTGTATGCTATAGCAAAGTTTGCATAATTGCACTCCATAGTAAACATAAATATGTATATTTCGCTATACATATACAAAAGAAAGCAGTTGTATAATCTGTACATATACAAAAAGATCAATTGTATAAAGTGAGAGAGGTGAGTGAGCGAGCGAGATCTGGGAGAGGGGAGAGAGGGGAACGAAAATATATGTATATATACAATTTTCTCTCGCTTTATACAAACACAAACGAACTTTATACACTTGCGTTTGTATAAAAAACGAGAGAGGCGAGGGAGAGAACGAGAGTGGCGAGCGAGATTCACCAGGAGAGAGGTGAAATAGCAACAGTTT